TGGTGATGGTCACCAACACATAACATACACTATTACTGGTGATAATCAATTGGTTTGTCTTGAGGTGAATGAGTGGTTGCGTGAATCACGTGCCGATACTATCACCAGACCATCGGTGGCTAAATATAACTGAATCACAAGTTTTTGTTTGGATTTGATGGCAATTATCAAAGAGTAAACAAATGGTGTGATCAGTGGATTGGGTGCACAAGACTATGACCGGTGATGACCACTGCGGGCAACACTAGAAGTGGTGATGTATTTTCGGGACAATTGATTGCAATAACTCATGAATCACTGAATCATTCAATTGTGTTGTCATTGGTTTGCTGAGCATTCACAGCCAATAGTACTGTTAGTCTATGCGTTGAACGCAATGCAAAGGCTGACAAACAATCGCATTATGTTTACCACTGTCTGTATGAATACGCAAGTGTTGGCCCAACAAACATACCGTTCCCTCTACTGTATGATAGGAGACTCACTCTAAAGCTGTACTCCTATCCATACTTAACGTATAGCACGGGAAAGGGATGTGGTGTACAATTCTATACAGAATCTGTACAAACTATCATACATGGCATACATGCAATCAAAATGAACAGGGCTCAATGTATGATGTTTGATCATGCACTTTATTACTTGTCAATGACTATACTGTATGTTCACACATGAGACTCAAGTATAAACACATATGAATACGTGATTTAAAATTGAAACCTAAATTGAACTTGATATATTAGCATATATTGTGATAAGATTAGGGATTAATATAAAACTTTCATAAATGACTAAATACTCGCTCAAATCCAAGTCATTCACGTCTAGAACAGTGGACATAATGGATGAGCTCCTCGACGACACCAGAGATGTCCACTTTTGGGTTGCCTGTGCTCTGGCAGCTCATGGTGACCAGGGTCTGATTATGCAACTTCAGCCGTAAGTACTACTCAATCAAATCTATATGTTTTCGCAAAACCTGTGTTCAGGTCTAATCTAAACGTTTATATGTATTATGCGTTTAAAAATAGGTTTTGACTCATAAAATGTTATTGATTTTGATTTCTATCGGTGCTATCAATGAGTTTTTCGTGTGTTTCCGAAAGTATATATAATTACCGGAGACACTCCAGTATAGCCATAAATATAATGACTTTTTTATATTACTCATAGATATGATAGCTATCATTGATAGCACTTCAAGTCTGCACTTATTTTCACTTTAAGTTTTTTATCTGAGAGTTAAGTCAATCTTGATATGAATTTTGATTATATTTATTAGTTTTCTCAGAATATTCTGTAATAGTGTTTACACTTAATTCTCTAATATATATGTTACTTATTTTCACTTTAAGTTTTTTATCTGAGAGTTAAGTCAATCTTGATATCAATTTTTATTATATTTATTAGTTTTCTCAGAATATTCTGTAATAGTGTTTACACTTAATTCTCTAATATATATGTTTGAGACTTAATGTATGACTGAATTCGTGCTCTAAAACAATATGTAATGCAATAAATGCATAATAAATATCGTGTGTAATTAGTTTTAATACTTACATAATAAACGCCTTTCCCTTTATGTTATGATAATGCTAACCCAACCGATGATGAGGTCATTCAGTGCCTGAGAAACCCCTCCCAAAGCCCAGTCGGTATAATTCGGTTCACTCTGGTAGACTAGACACCAGTTCCCCATTCAATGGCTTAATATTTATGATTAAATGCTACTTTTGTTTGTTATTATTGTTTAATGTTATCTATTATTTATATGAAAATGTAATTATATTTTCAAAGGTTTTACTCTTTTTTATGACTTGTTTTGTGTGTTTTATTTATTATTTCATGTATTTTGTGATGATTTAGGCGTCAAAGTAAAGCTCCAGATATGGGACACCGCGGGACAGGAGAGGTTCCGCAGCATAACACAGAGCTACTACCGATCCGCACACTGTCTCATGTTGGTCTACGATATCAGTTCCCAACCATCCTTTGACTCCCTGTCCCAGTGGTGCCGTGATATCGAACAGTACGCTGGATGTGAGTATCAGGTGGTGGTGATTGGCCACCCATTATAGCGTTCATTGGATCCCATACTATGCTATCGATGGTAGAAAGTAATGCATTGAATCATATGTTGTTGTAAATGATGTTTAGTGCGATAAATGGGTACTAAATTTTGAGGTTTAGTGTCTGATAGTGTACTAATGTTTAAGCAGTAATTGCTATTTAAATAGGCATTCAGTAAAGTAAATGAGAATTTGATGAAAATTTAAAAAGTATTAATGAATCACTTTCTGGAAGCGATAGCATACTGTGAATTGCAATGAACCGATTAAATATCATTTGAATACTAATGGTGTGACCTCCCGATGCCCACTCTATAGCCACAACGAATGGTAACCGATCGGTGCTGAAGGTGTTGGTGGGGAACAAGTGCGACAAAGAGAGGGAAATACCGCTACATATCGCCGAACAGTTTGCCGTCAACAATGAGTTTGACTTATTCATGGAGACGTCGGCCCTCCAGGCGGACAACGTGGAGAAGCTCTTCTACGAGATCGCAGACATATGCGTCCAAAGACGCCAGGCCTCTAACGGCGCCGGTAGTCACGCGGCCGACAGCGGCCTCAGTATTGATAACAATAATCAAAATAAGTCACAAACCAGTCAATCGTGTCTTTCGTGTCAATACTTGTGAATAGGATTTTTGATTACGAATTGTTTTTGTATGAATACCCATACGGACAGCCATGTTATGCTATTATGTCTGTAATTATTTGATTGCATTATATTTTGTATTTTATTAATGATTTTATTTGTATTTTTAAGCACATTATTATTACCGTATTATTACAATTTACTGTTTTATTATAAATACCAAAAACCGTATTATATTATGTATTATGTAATAGTTATTTTAGTTATGTTATTAATTACATTGTATTAATAATTATTATATACAGAAATGTGAGAGAAATAAGTGATTTTTAATTATTATTCACGAAATTAAAGCAGAAATAGTTTTTTTGTTATTTTATGAAACCAATTGCAAAATAATAATAAAAATCGATTTAATTCTGTTTTTGCAAACAAAATGTGTGTTTTTTGTATTACATTTTTGTTGCTGTTTATGGCCTTAAATTTGTTTACCTGTTCACCCTTTATAGAGTGATAAGTGGACCGACAGTTCCCATCGGTTCCACACCTTGTGTTTGTGGTCACAGAATATATTATGTTTTTATCACTAGTTATGCCATAAACTTATTATCGATGTATTGATTGAGACGATGAAATCAATCGAAAACTTTGTTTTTTGATAACACTTTTCACACAAGAAGTCATATATTTAGCGCTAATTTGCGCTTAAATTTGGTTCAAAATAAATGATAAAATTATTTTCATTTTTATACAAATATATCAGTATTTATGCGATAATCGCGGCATTAATACACGTTTTTCACGGAATTAGTCTCTAAATAGTATTTAATATAATTTTTGTTGTGTTTAAAACTCAAACCTTTTTCTCTGATGTCAGCCTTTTTCACACAAAAACTCATTTTTCACTTCAGTATAACTTCTTATCGTTAATTCAATAGAGTTTTTGGTGAAAATAATTTATGAAATATTTTTCTCTTACAAGCGATGATAGCATCGCATGAAATCATATCAAATGCAGAAAATGGTATTTTTTAATGAAATAAATGAATCATATTTTTCTACTGATTTTCAGGGGTCGAGGGGTTTATTATCTATGGAGAGAGAGAGAGAGAGAGAGAGAGAGGGAGAGAGAGAGAGAGATTAGGGATAAATATCTATACGAGACATAAACGTAGGCTTTTTATGTCATTTATAACTTTATTATTAATGGATAGCTATTTATCATTCATTCAAATTTGATTTATAGATTACATTTTAAACACATATTTGAAATCAAATATGTATTTTGCTATCACATCAAATGCATTAGAAAGCGATTTCAATTTCGTAGACGAATTCATTTGAGAAATGTTATTTAATTCACTCCTATTTTACAACTAATTAAATAAATGATCGGAAAAACTAAATAAAAGTCTATAAAAATATTTTCTCCACAAATTTGTCGTCCAAATTCAATTCAATACGAGTTTTAATTGCAAAATAATTAAATAATTTCTAGTATTACGTATTGAAAGCCATTAATTTTGTTTTGAAAAGTTTACTTATCGTTTATTTAATAATAAAT